TATTGTGTTACAAATTTGAACCAATGTCTGATCTCTTATACCAGTCTATTTATGATTTCTGTCCCTATCCCAGATGGGGCTAGACACTTTTGTCAGGCTGGACACTTTAGACACTGATACATTTGCATCATGTACTTTCTAAGACCTCTGTTTGGCCCCTTCCCTGTAAAGTGATGATAATGAGATTTACTCACTTCAGAGTAGCAGTGAGATTCATCAGTGAAAGCTATACAAGCTATATAACTGCTAGGTGTTGTTATTAGGACTGATGGACCTAATTATTGTGACTAATATTTTGGGGGTTATTACAGCCAGGCATGGCTGCAAAATAAGAAAGTAAAGAAGACTTTAAATGATGTATTTGAACTTTTGTGTTTTCTCCCTGGCAGCTTAATGCACTTGAAATGCTGCATTACAGGCCCTGCAGGAATGACTGAATTAATTACCCTTTTTTAAACTGAATGAGGAGTTAAATGATATATTAAAAGTTAATTAATTTGTGGCCTACTGGCATTAAGTTATCTCACCTAGAAGGCTCCCTCATTTAACAGTGTGCATCAACTTTGTTAAACACATGCTATATTTGAGGGGAAAGAATAACAAGGCTCAGAATATAGAAGACAAAAATGGAAGGAAGATCAGTGAGGAAAGGGAAAAGAACTAAATAAAATATGCTGGGAAGGAAAAGCACAAATTGGTGAGGGAGGCACAGGTAGAAAAATAGGAAGTTTATCTGTTAATACAACCCAGTATGCTGTTGTATATGTGTGACTTGAAAATAAATGGAAGTGTTCAGCATTGGTGAGGCCTCACTTGGCATGATGTGTCCAGTTTTGGGTTCCACACTTCAAAAAAGATGTGGACAGGTTGGAAAGAGTCCATGTAGAAGAGGAGGGGGAGCCAGGAGAGGAGATTCCCCACTCACTTCCTTTTCCCTAGCCCCAGGAACCAAGCTGCTTTTCCAATGCCAGAATGAGAACCCACAGTGGCCAGAGTTGGGCAGCAAGCAAACCAGCTCCAACATGGGTCTCCAGAGAAAACCTGGATTAGAATCAGAAACCCCAGAGGTAAGGACCCCATACTTACTGGCTCCAGTCTGCTTAGAGGGCAAGAAGACCCACTGGAGCTGAGACAGGCTGCAGGGACACTCCAGGACATGAGGCAGCTGGCACAACCCTGGTCCATCGCATAAGAGGATCCTCCCACGAAACAGAAAGAAAGGCCCTATCTGGGACCACAAAGCCTGGGAAATGGCCACTTGAGTGGTAGGGCCCCTAGAGAGGAAACACCTGAACCTCATTTGACTTACATGATTCATTCCAACACAGGGAGCAAGAACCACAGCAGAGGAGTGAAAGCTACCAAGTGGAAGGGAAAGGAGACAGAAAACTTCCTTGGCTAAACAGGGGAATCCAGGGGGACCTAAGGGCAAAATAGAAGGCATATAGGCAGTGGAACCAGGGGGAAACTACCAAGGAAGAGTAAACTTACTTGGCGTGCACTTGCAGGGAGGCAGTTAGAGAAGTCAAAGCAACTACAGAGCTAAGGCTGGCAACACAAAGACAACAAAAAGTCTTTTTTTTAGGTATGTAGGGAGTAAAAGGAAGGCGCAGGGCAGCATAGGACCTCTACTGAACAAGAAGGAGCAATTAGTGACAGACAGGGGGGATAAGGCTGAGCTATTCAATGAATTTTTTGCCTCTGTGTTCCTGAACAGGGGTCAAGATAAGTCTCCTCATGGGTTCTTAGATAGGCATCAGAGGGACACCAGCCCACCAACTGTCGATGCTGACTTAGTGCAGAGTCACTTGGATGGACTGGATGTGTTCAAGTCAGCAGGCCCGGATGAGCTGCATTCAACAGTACTGAAGAAATTGGCTGGTGTCATAGCAGAACCACTGGCATGGCTGTTTGAGCACTTGTGTCAAGTCCCAGAGGACTGGAAAAGGGCCAACGTGGTCCCTATTTTCAAGAAAGGGAGGAAGGAGGATCCAAGTAATTATAGGCCAGTCAGTCACACCTCCATCCTTGGAAAGGTCTTTGAAAAGATTATGAAGGATCATATCTGTGGGAGTCCAGTGGGAAAAATAATGCAGCAGAGAAACCAGCATGGATTCACAGCAGGCAGATCATGCCTGACCAATCTGGTTTAATTTTATGACAGGGTCACAAAATGCTTAGATGCAGGAGTAGGGGTGGTTGTTGTTTTCTTGGATTTTAGCAAGGCCATCGATACGGTATCTCATCCCATTCTCATAAATAAATTAAGAGGCTGTGATATAGATGTTTACATGGTCCGGTGGGTGGCAAATTGGCTTAGCTGTTGCCCCAGAGTGGTAGTAGATGGGTCGGTATCGACCTGGAAGGATGTGGGTAGTAGGGTTCCGCAGGGTTTGGTCCTTGGATCTGTATCTTCATTGTCTTCATCAGTGACCTAGATGTGGGCATGAAGTGTACTCTGTCCAGGTTTGTGGATGATACTAAATTGTGGGGTGAAGTGCACACTCCAGAAGTTAGGGAACAATTGCAGGCAGACCTGGACAGGTTGAAAAAGTGGGCAGTACACAATAGGATGCAGTACACAGACACATGCAGAGTGCTGAATCTAGGGCACAAAAATTTCCAGCAGACCTACTGGCTGGGAAGTGACCCTCTCAGCAGCACAGAAGCAGAAACGGATCTCAGAGTGGATTCCAAGATGAACATGTGTTATCAGTGTGACAAAATTGTCAGCAAAGCTAACCGCACTTTATCATGCATCAGCAGATGCAGGACACACAGAACCAAGGAGGTGATACTTTCCCTCTATGCAGCATTGGTCAGACCACAGTTGAAGTACCGCATCCAGTTTTGAGCACTGTACTTCAAGAAGGATGTTGATAGACTTGAGAGGGTCCAGAGGAGGGCCACTTGAGAGGGTCCAGAGGAGGGTTAGGGGCTTACAGAACAAGTCCTGTGAGGAGAGACTGGGGGGCCTGGACCTCTTCAGCCTCCACAAGATAAAGCTGAGAGGTGATCTTGTGGCCACCTACAAATTCATTAGGGGGACACAGCAAGGGATCGGAGATGCTCTGCCCACCAGGGCGCCTCTTGAGATAACAAGGAACAATGGTCACAAACTGACAGAGTAGATTTAGGCTAGATATCAGGAAAAACTGCTTCATGGTAAGAGTGAGCAAAATTTGGAATGGGCTTCTAAGGGAGGTGCTGCTCTCCCCTACCTTGGGGATCTTTAAGAGAAGGCTGGATGGGCATCTGGCTGGGGTCATCTGACCCTGGCACTCTTTCCTGCCTAGGCAAGGGGCCGGACTCAATGATCTTTTGAGATCCCTTCCAACCCTAGCATCTATGAATCTATGAAAGCTGGCTCTTATAGGCTGGGAGAGCCCCAAGGAGACCGTAAAGGGACACCAGAAGTAGTGAAAAAGGAGACCCTCCACCGGAGAGTTGGTCACAGAGGGTGAGGGGCAGTATACCTGCCCATATTTATCTTTGCGGAGAACAGACTTAAAAGAATTCCCAGTAGCCATCCACGTAGATATGGTGCCTCACTCCCAGCTGTGAAGCCCTAATAGTGGGAATCAGCATACAGACTACAGAGGCCTGTGGCGGGGGTGTAGGAGCCTCCGTTATAGGCCCTAGAGGGTCTTGCCAGAGACCATAGTGAACTGTTGCTTGTGAGAGAGTGGCCCTTATGGTGGTGTCTTCCTAATCCTTTGGGACAATATTCTACCAACAATTACCATCAAGTCATGGCAGATAAGTGTCCCAGGCAGGTAAGAAGCTCTCTAAGGGACATGCAGTGCAGGTCATGCCATTCAGAAGGAGGCTCGACTGCAGTCCAGGAGAGTGTGACAAAAATTATTAGAGGCCTGGGAAGCATGACTGATGAAGAAAGGCTCAAAGAACTAGGATTTAATTACTATCATCAAATACCTGAATGGTGATTATAAAAAAAGAACTGGAATACAATGAACTTCTCTTTGTAGCCAGAAGGGACAGGATTAGGAGCTTTCCTCAAGCTGCAGGAGAGAAAATTTAGGTTGGAGGTTAGAAAGAACATCTGAACTACGAGGGTGGTCCAGCATTAGAACAGGCTACCTAGAGGAGCTGTAGAATCCCCATCCTTGGAAGCTGTCAAGAACAGGATAGGCAGATATTTGGCTGGTTTGGTTTAGTCAGGGATGATCCCAGCTTGAACAGTGGGCTAGATTTAGATAGCCTCATGAGGTCCCTTCCAGCCTTTCTTTCCTATGATCCTCTGGAAGAGAATATCTCATAGGAAGGGGCCATTAAAACCAAGGGTTGAAGATAACTATTATTGTCACTACTTCTCTTAGAAAAAGACCATAACATGGGAAGGAGAGAATATCACAGGGTAAGGAAAGAAGAGAAAAGGTCAAGATACATGGTAGCAAAGTACACAGTTTTGATATTGTTATCTTTTCAGGAGTTCCACTGTAGGGAACAACAGAGCTCTAGTAACAGAAACTGATCATGAAAGAGTTAAAAGTATGTCAAACACATTGTATAAGAAAAAAATTCTAGGATATATCTTGCCTTTTTATGTAGATTTTAAGTGTGTGCCTCACCCTTCTCCCTTCATTCCTGCCTGATCCCAAAACTTTAAACCCAATAAGGTGGATATCATCAATTCTCAAGCATGCTTCACTTGATACAGAAAACTGCTCCAGAGAAAGAAGAGCTATTTGATGAATAATTTCAGGATTTTGGTAAAACTTCTGGGAAAACTAGCTAGATTAACAAAGGCTACCTAGTATATAAATGCTTAATAAGGTATGATCAACTGCATGTATTAAGCTATTTTAAATTTCTTATGGAGAATTTTTAAACTTGACAAGGTGAGCTATAAGTGGAAACAGATCATGCTGTGCTAATATCAAGATGGGAATACAGCTACTAGGAAATTACATACAGATTACTTAAAGGTCTAACTTCACAGACAGACACAGATGTTCAGATAAATAAACAGTGATTACCTCAAATCTGCTGCTTTGCCATTCCTGTGAGTACATGTAACCTGCCTGGTTTGATACCCAATCTGTATGTCCCAATATTTGTTCTCCTGTCTGTTTTGTCTATTTCGATTTCTCTTTTTCTTAATAAGCTCACGAGCCTCAGGATCCCGTACTCCTTTTTCTCTGTCCTTCTCCTTTTCTTTGTTCTTTCCCCGTTTCCTTGCTTGTCTTGTATGTCTTGACTGGGGCATAGAACATGCGCTCCAGGGTCCCACATTTAGGCTATACATGCTTTCTTCAGTAGCACATGGGCTAGACTGACAGATCTGAAATTCAGTCAGGTTGGGACAGGCAGAGCCACCAAACCGAGCTGGAGCAACAATGTGACGAGCTCTGTGTTGAAGCCCATTGCCACAGGTCTTGGAGCACTCTGACCAGGGGGAGAATTCTGCCATGATGCAGTCCTGACGACAAGGGATGAGACATGCCTGCTCTTGGCGAGGTTTGGGCTCAAAGTAGTCACATATGACATCCTCAGCTGAGGCCCCGTTTGCTTTCTGTATGCAAGTTACATTTCTCATCTGGATTCCTTCCTCTCCTTTGATGCATTCTACAGGTTTTTCAATGTTCCTTGAAATAACTGGCTGGCATTGATTCCAGCTGCCCAGCTGCCAGTCGTACAGTTCTTTGTGCCAATCACAAACCCTGAAACAGTTCTGTTGGTTCTCAGGCCTCTCAATCTGTTTACAGTTCGTGGGTAGGGTTGTCCATCCTTCCACATGGGCACACCACACTGCTCGCGTTTGGATACCACCTGGACCACATTCATCTCCCATACACCTACCCCATGGACCTAGAAAACAAAATAAAAGCCGATATAACATTTTAAATTTAATTACTGTGTCATTATTGAAATCAAGATGCAGCTACAAGGCTCAGGAAACAAAAGCTTGGTATTTCCCAGTAGTCCTGTTGAGCTAAGACCTCAACACGACTTGTGGGAAAGAGTATTAATCTCAGGAAGACTCAGCACAAAATAATCACAGGACTATTAATCAATTTTCTGGTCTTCTTACAATTTTACTATTTTTTCTTTTAATGTTGAGTAAATAAAATATTTGCACTGGTAGAATTCATTAGGGATTGCTCACAATAAAATTAAGAAATTATGCAGATTGTTTCTTCAAGTTCTGCTTGGCCAGCATAATGAAGGAAAATCTTCTCTATAGCTTTCAGTTATAGATAAATTATGGTTTTAGTTTTTTGGGGCAGTTTTTTGGGGCAAATTATGGTTTTAGTTTTTCTCTTTTTGCACCTGGCTTCACACACTCATTTTATCTAAACAGTGCCCAAAAACATAACAAAGATATAGCAGACTTGAGAAAGCATCAGTAATTTCAGGTGGGGGAAGACCTATTTCTTCATTTTATTTCCTCCCTAACATACTAAAAATATTTGGATTAATTACATATTCATTCTGAATTACTCATCATGAATGGTAGCCAGACACCAATATATGGTGAAATACATATATCAGACATGATTTCTTACTAGCTTATGGCTATTCATAGGAAAAACAGAGTTAAGAGAGAAAACAGATCTTGTAGGAAAGCAATGCCCCACCCCCTATCTTTTTTAATGATAAAAAATCCATAGAATGTGATGGATTTGAAAATTTACAATGCAAACTCTTTCTGTGGTTTGAAAGAGCTGACATTTGGCAGTGTGAATTAACAATACCCAGGTTACATGGGTGAGAGAGATGTTGACAAATTTCCTCTGGACACAGTTGCATTTTATTTTCCTGAGTTTTGTCAAATTTCGTACAAACTAAAAAGAAGCCATTTCTGACCACCAAAACTGCACATCTGAAACAATAATGAAAGAACATGTAGGAATACAAAACCTAAATGTTTTATATCATTCTATTCATGAAGTGAACAAACTTTTTTTCAGAGATTTTTCAGAGATTTTAGCAAGAGACTTTTTTTTTCCATAGATCTCTTGGTAAAACAAAATAAATTCAAAATTATGCTTCCATTACAATGTGACTTGAATAAAGAAACCCATGCTAAAAATTGAATGAACATAGTGTTATCCTCCATGTACCATTCCACTCCCTAGCCCATAGCCTAGTAGTGGGAGATGTGAGTTCATATCCTTTAGGGTTGGGGGGGGAAACTTTAACCTTTCAACTTCTGGGCAACTGTCCTAGCCACTAGATAATTGGGCATAAGGTCAGTGGGCTGCCTTCCTTTTCCCTCCTACCCTAAGGTGATGGAAGTAGGTATTGTGCGCTGCACTCCCCTCTCCTCCAGACATGTGTACCATTTCCTATTGCCTGGCTGTTAGCGACTCCCTGCATGCTTTGGAGATGTATAAGGTTGACCATAATTAGAATGGGCAAGCTATGACCTTCTGCAGCTCTGGGCAAGATTGTTCTCCTGAGGAATGATGTGTATTTTTTGGCCATGTGTTAGTGTAGGCTTAGACATCTAATAGGTGGAATAGGATCTTGGCCTTTTGCATCTGTATTCCTTGCTAGTTTATTGTTGAATAGATACTTGATTACAGTATACAGAAGAGACAGTGCAGTTGAACAGTTTGTCTGTGGATTCTAAAACCCTGAGCATTATATACTTGATAGCAATGCCAGCTGGCAGAGACAGATTCAGCACATGAAAACTTCTGTGCTGTTTATTGCAGATTAAGTCTGATTTAGAGTTTCCAAGCTTTAGCTAGATACCCAGAAAAATAAATGTATATTAAGTACAAATACATTCAGTCCCCATTTCAGCTAGATTACCCTAGTTTATCTCTAACCAGCCTTCCATAAATGACATGCTTGTGTTTATTTTATTCAAAATGCATTTATGTAGAGTACAAAGAAATTGCACTTCTCCAGAAAATTGCACGGAGTTCTACTTAAGAACACCAACCAAGTTTAAAAGAAAGGAATAAGAACTGCATAAAATCATCAGCTAATGGAAGGATAGCAATATAATCATGACGGAACCTAAAGAATTAATATATTCACCTTGCAGATGGCAAACTCCTGTCTTATCACATCACTGCACCTTGTGTATATCATGTGTGTCCAATTAAGAGACCTTCTTTTAAAGATCAGATCTTTGCTACACTGCTCCAAATAAACAGTAGGTACTTTGGCCTTCCTACAAGATCCAGAATTATGAAGTATTCAAGAGACAACGCACCATATCTAAAAACTGTTTGTAACGGTTAAGCATTGTCAGTGCAATTAACCAACTTGTTCATAAGTAATTAAAATGCTAACCAATCAAAGAGCTAAGGCTGTAAGGAAACTGCAGGAAGGTAAACAGAGAGGGTGCTTGAAGTGCTGTATGTGAAAGTGATAAATTAGCTTTGCATTTGTCTGGGGAATAGTATAATTTTGCTCCATAATATTAACTGCATTTTGTAATGGTGCTGTCTATGAGTATGCCAGTGCTTTAACAGTGTTACAACATTTGTTGTAGCATAAGGATTGAAACATAAGGGCACAGCAAAGAAGAATATTAAGAAAACCCAACCACAGAAACACAATCTTGTCCAGTTTTAAGATAATTTAAAATTCATAAAAAACTAATTGCATTAGCTTTTGTTTTTGCTTGTTAATACAAATTTAGACTCTGGAAAGTGATTTTTCCAATATATTCAGCCCTGGATGAATATGTTTTAAGGCTTCTCAAAGTAAAGTGTCATGCAAATACAGTGCAAGTTTTGGGCACTGCATTCTAGGAACGATTCAGACAACATGAGAAGAGTCTAGAGAGGAGCAATAAAAATGATGAGAACACTGAAAAGATACAACTTTATCCAGCAGGTGACAACCAAAAGGGCCTGTTCACATACATTAAGTACCAGAATGTGTCCTTCATCGTTTTCATCTTTAAATATTTAGCCTTGTGGGCCACCATTTCTAAAAGGTCCATACAAATTAATAATGTTTGTTAATTACATGTTCATCTACATGAATCTTCCTAAGCATCTGTACAAATCTTCCTAAGTCTCTAAATAAGCACTAGAGCAAACTTCACATTTTTTGGGTGAAATGATGAATTTTTACTTAGGATTATCAATCTGGCTAGCATCAGTTTTACAGTGACATCTACCACCAGTTTCTAAGTGCCTTTCACTTAAAATAAACAGCAGCAATATCCATAGTACATATGTACTCACCAATATGCTAAATGAATTATTACTGCAGGTAAAAAGTAGCAAATTGTATTTTCAGTGCAAGGGGAGAAAAAGAAATCTCATAATAAAAATCATGGATCAGGCCCCCAGAGATCCCAAGACTTAAAAATACTAGTTTGGCATTCTATTAAATTTGTTCACTGGTTTATAAATCTTTTGAGCTTCCACATAGACACTTTCCTCTACCACTGTGAGTTCCTTAAACTTTTTTTTAGTATTGATTAATTTTGTCTGCAGTTTTAAAAGTTGAAAAGCTTTAAGAAAAAAGCCACCAAATATCACACACCTTATCATAATATAGCAAAAATTAGCAATACTTTTGTCATTCAGCTGGATTAATGTCTACTTGTTTACTTAGTGACTGAGGACAAAATGGGTGCTAGTTAATTGTGCAACTCTGCTTATATATATATTTGGTCACATGCTCTGATAAAAGAACTCTGTTCTATTGTGTGTTCTAAAATTTACATAATTTCATCTGGCATGCCAGTTCAAAAGGTTATGAGCCTGTTCGTGGGCGGATCTAGGATTTTGAAAAGGGGGGTTCAGATGGTGTAATGCACCATCATATATAACACAACACATTTTCCTGTAGATAAAAAAAAGGGAACTGTAAGTTTTAATTATATGCTAGGGTCCTAGGACTATATTATTCAGTTTAAGATCAAACCAAGCAGCTTGGGATATGAACAAATGGACCTGCTTGAGCTGCTGCAAGGCAAACAAGGACCTGAAAATGTAAGGTTGCTCTGGCAACCTGACAAGGAGCTGCAGCATCTTCAGGCAGTGTGACCTCAGAGGGGTACCTCTGAGTGGTGCTTCCTGAGAGGTGGTGAAGACCCTGAGCAGCAGCAGGCAGCAATCTTTGGCTCAGAGTGGTGGTAATGCCAACAGGCATCTCAGGGCAACCCTGGGATAGTAGCCAGCAACATGATCTCTTGAGGGATTCATTCTGAGGGAAACTCCCTCCTTCCTGGACTGGGTTAAGTAGCAACTTCTGGGGGTAGGGGAGTTTCAGATAAGGACTGAAACTGAAAGACCAAGGGTGTTTTATAGGGCTGTGCGATGCTTCGGGTGGCGATTCCATTCAGAGGAGATTCATCCCAATTTGGTGGCCAAATCTCTGAATCTGAATTGAATCAGGGGACCAATTTAAAGGTCTGAATTGATTCAAAGCTCTCCAAAAGATTCGGAGAGCTTTAATGATTCAGGCAGTCCCCGGTGGCTGCAGCAGGGAGCTGCAGTCGGACTTAGAGCTAGTAAGTACTAGGGGAAGGGGAGAGGTGGCTAGGGGAGGTGACCAAAGGGGGACCACTGCCAGCCCTGCTGACCCCCACCCACTCTCCCAGCCCCTCCCCCTCATGGTTTCCCCACCCACCCCAGCTCCCAGTGCTTTAAAGAAAAGCCCCAGTGCTCACCGGGTGGTGGGGGTCGATCCCTGCTGCCTGCCACTGCCCTATGCTGCATGGGGGGCTCTGCCATGAGTCCCCTGGCTCCCCCAACCCCCCCCATGGGTGCCCCACCCGGGCCAGCTCCAGCCCTTTAAGAAAAAAAAAGAAAGAGAAAATCCCCGGGACTTACAGCTCTTGCAGCAACCTTGGGGCTTCAGGGGGCTTGTGCAGAGCCCCCGATGTG